CCGGCCACCCCGGGCGGGATCGCCCCGCACGCCCCTGCCCCTCCCTGGATCCCCTTCCCCTCCGCCTGCAGGCAAGGGGGCAGCCCCCTCCTCCTGCCCCCCGCTAAGGGGGTCCCTTCAGCGCTGCCTGGGGAGGTCTCCGGGTTAGGAGTCAGCCCAGGAGGAGAGGTAAGAACAGGGGCCCCGATTCTGCATGCTGGGTGTTGCGGGGGGTGAGAGGAGGCTGCTGCTGCTGCTGCTTTGGGGCAGAAAATCCCAAGCCCAGGCTCCTCCGCCTCTGCCTCTGCCCACGGGCCACTCTCCAGCCCCCCACCACGGAGGGCAAGTAAACGGGCCCGGTGCCCACGGGAGACCCACGAGAGCCGGTGGGTCCCGCGGGCCCCTTGCTGGGCTGTGGCAGGTGAAGAGACCCCCCCACCCCTCCCGCTGGGCCTGTGCCCCCCGCGCCCTGACTCCCTGCTTCTGGGAGGCCCTTCTCTGCCGCAGTCCCTGCGAAATCCCTCGCAGGAGGGGCGAGAGACCTCTGCCCCGTGTTGCCGCTGCCCCACGGGGAAGTTTGGGGGCCGGCACCCCTAGAGAGTGCACCCCCAGTTACATGTAGGCCCGGCAGGGCTTGCAAATCGGGCCCATAGGGCTTCTTGTGGGGGAAGAGGTATGGGGGTGGAAGTGGGGTTTGGGGGGGGGGTCCCCTTTATAGTCAGCAACTGGCCTCTGAGCCCTTGCAATGAAACCAGCCTGGAGCAGTGTGAGAAAGAGCCGGGAGGACTCGCTGCTGCCGAGGGAACAGGTGCGAGCAGTTGGTGCCCCGAGCTCCAGCGCTGCTAATACCGCTGCACCGGGCCAAGCAGCTGCACGGGCCCGGCCCCGGCCCCGGCTCCGGCTCCTGCCGCGGGTCACCCCCGGGGACACGGCCCGGACCCGGCTTTGCCGGACAGAGGCAGGAGGATGGAGCTGGGTCCTGAGTGTGTGTGTGTGTCTGCTCGCACGGGGATCGGGGCGGTTTTATTCAATCAAATGGTTCTTGATTAAAGAGGGGGAGAGGTGTGTGTGTGTGTGGGGGGGGGGTGAAGGATGGGGAAAGTAGCTACCCCCGCCCTTTCCATCCCAATACACTCGCCCTATCCCTCTTTCCCCACCTCCCAGCGAGTAACACGGCTCCACGCCTCGGATCCTTGACATCTTTTCTACCTAGTTGGTTCAAAAAGGAGCCAGGGAGCCATCGAGACCCGTGGAAATCGGAGAGGGAAGGACAAATGGAAGTAGAGCAGGGAGGAGGGGAAGGG